TCATAACCGGCCATAAAAAAACTGAAACATTTATTTAAAATCTGTTCTTCAGTCAACTTCTTCTCCAACACTCCTGTGAAGGCTTCGGCGTCGGCTGTGATCTCATCCTTACCCTCATTCACATGATGTGCTTCATTGGCATCACTGGCCCCTCGGATATCGCCATCACTTCTCTCCGAATTCATTAATAGCTGCAGAAAATCGTTGTGTTTTTCCTTATTATCTCTCCTTTTCTTCATAAGACTTCGCGAGAAATCCATAAAAAAGGCGGCGTCAGAGCCACCGGTGCTTAAATGCTTACGGTATATATTACTGGATACAATAAATGTGGGCAGGGTCAGTTGCAACAACCTTTTCCAATTGGGAGCATTGGATATATTGGCCACTTTTGTGGTGAACGGGTTGTTAGGGTCGGCGTATGTATTGATTTTGGTAGAGAAGGCACAGCTGGCGATCACATCCATAGTGTAGGCGCTTATCACTCGCTTCAACTCGATTTCATTCATACCATTCGACACATCCTTATCCAAGCTATCAATGAATTCTTGGCCGCAATGGTTGATCAGAGCATACATTTTCCTCATCTTTCCGGACGTGAAGGTAGGGCTCGCTATATCCCGAACCCGCTTCCAGTCCTCATCCCTGGCCTTTGACATGGCCTGGCTGTCACCCCCGGGAGCTGTGGATCGGTTACGAAATATATTGAAATCTTTGACCAGAATCTGTTTGATGAGCTGCGGGTCGGCCACTGTTAGCCTGGGCTTCGATAATATGTATAATCTGTACATACATTCAAAAGATGTTATAAAAAATATATTAAATTTTGTTTTTATTTTTACGGCATAATTACCCATAAATTTTTCCGTATTTCTTATACCACTCCATCTCTAGTAATGGTCGAGGATTTAGGCATAAACTTAAAAAGTTTCCGAATATAGGTATGGGTTTTGGACCACAAATGTGTCGATCCTTCCAATAGCTGAAGTTATTCCTCCACGAACTCAATGAATGAATGAATAATTTCAAGAAATATTATTTTTAAAATTAATTTTAATTAAAAATTAATTAAATCTGATATACAGTATGTCTTACATATAGTAATAGGCGATCACCGCCACAATGAGTCCTATGAGACACAACCAGTATGTCTGGAAAATCGGTGCCAATACTGACTCTAACATTAAAGTCATAATTCACGGGATGTTTAATAAGTCTACTATTATTTTAAACTTAAATTTAAAACATAAGTATTGAATAGTTTCAGCCATGTCTTTTTATACACAATTTTTACAAGTCACACATAATGTGACACATTAAATGTTTTTTCAAAAAGATGTCAGCAAAATATTAACAAGATCCTGTCTAGCATTCTGTAAAGCATTTGCAAGTAATTCACCAATGTAGTTGTATTAGTATCATGTAATGTTAAGAAATTAATTTTCAATGCAAACTCTTATCGGTATTTCCAAATATATTACTAAAAAAATATATTAATATATTAAGTTATTTTAAGTTATATTATAAGTTATTTAAAACAATTTTTGTACATAATTTGGCGGTTAGATTAAAATGAGTGAACAAGTAACTTGGCACATTTTTATACCCTACTCATGAATTTATGAATACTTATATGTACTTATTATATAACCTTTATATTAGACACTACTTTCACACTAAACCTTATGACTAGTTTGTACTTGATCATCATTGTCTAGACTCTAGCATTTGTGACTTCTAGTTACTAAGCGTTATGCAATTATTACAATAGATTTTCAGATACAGTAATTTCTTTGTTAACTTACCCGTATACTTTTGCAAATCACCGCTTATGCTCTATACACTTATGGTTTATTTTGTACATATATGGAGCTTAAATATGCTATAAAGTATTCTTATGTCCCTGATAACATTAAACAATTATCGGCTTTTTCCGATTATTGGGTAAAAGTACCAAAAGCTTACAATTTCGTCACAAATAATACATTCAATTAATAAAAGAAAAAGCATTAAATGGTTGAACACATATTTTTAGAAACAATGCAATTATAATTTTACATAGATTATAATTGTATTTAATGGAAGCATATATTTCAATAGATAACAGCTATTTTGTAAGCCTCTATAATAAACACTATTAATTACTTATTGCTATCAAATTGAAAATAATTCTACTGGTAATGGTTTTATTTATTTAAATACTTTTATAAATCATAAAATGTAATACTTCAAAATTATTTAATGATAGCATTAGCTATCTAGATTTGGGGTGAGTCACATATTACGTTCGCACTTTTTGGGAAATCTTAACCCCCTCCCCCCCTTATGTTCGCAATTGTTCGCATGTCTCCATGTTCAATTAAAATTACGTTCGCATGTGCNGCCAGGGATGAGGACTGGAAGCGGGTCCGGGATATAGCGAGCCCTACCTTCACGTCCGGAAAGATGAGGAAAATGTATGCTCTGATCAACCATTGCGGCCAAGAATTCATCGATAGCTTGGATAAGGATGTGTCGAATGGTATGAATGAAATCGAGTTGAAGCGAGTGATAAGCGCCTACACTATGGATGTGATCGCCAGCTGTGCCTTCTCTACCAAAATCAATACATACGCCGACCCTAACAACCCGTTCACCACAAAAGTGGCTAATATATCCAATGCTCCCAATTGGAAAAGGTTGTTGCAACTGACCCTGCCCACATTTATTGTATCCAGTAATATATACCGTAAGCATTTAAGCACCGGTGGCTCTGACGCCGTCTTTTTTATGGACTTCTCGCGAAGTCTTATGAAGAAAAGGAGAGATAATAAGGAAAAATACAACGATTTTCTGCAGTTATTAATGAATTCGGAGAGAAGTGATGGCAATGAAGCACATCATGTGAATGAGGGTAAGGATGAGATCACAGCCGACGCCGAAGCCTTCACAGGAGTGTTGGAGAAGAAGTTGACTGAAGAACAGATTTTAAATAAATGTTTCAGTTTTTTTATGGCCGGTTATGAGGGGGTGGCCACTGCTCTGTCGTTCTGTACGTATGAGTTGGCACTCAATCCTACACTTCAGGACAGACTCTATGAGGAAATCAAAGGTGTATTCAATGAAAAGGGAGAAATGGATTACTCAGTGCTGTCGAGACTACCATTCATTGACGCACTTCTGACCGAAACTCTTCGCCATTATTCTCCTGCACTTCGACTCGAGAGGCAAACCATGGAAGACGTAACTCTGGGCGACACTGGAGTGAAGATCGAGAAGGGAGTGATCGTTGAGATCCCAATCTATGCCATACATCACGATCCCGACCACTATCCGGATCCATTTACCTTCAACCCGGATAGATTTATGCCCGAAAACCGGGATCACATCAAACCCTACACTTACCTGCCTTTCGGATCGGGTCCACGAAATTGCATTGGAATGCGATTCGCGTTATTGGAGGCAAAGCTCGCGTTAGCGAAGATTTCACAGAAGTTCCGCTTTTCCAGAGTCACCGACACTGACGTCCCCGTCATCTACACCAGGGGTGGGTTCCTATTACAGGTCAAACCACTTGTTGTGGGCATTCAGAAGCGATAAAATATATTTTAATGTAACTTTAATCAACTTAATAAGCAAGGTGCTTAATTTGTCGTGTTTAACAATTTATAATATTTACAACTCTATGTTTAAAAATTAACTTATTGTTTTATATCATGTTAAATAGTACATAGTATACCTGGTGAAATAAGCAACAATTAGCGATTTATTGGACCCATTTAGCCCACTAATTGATTATGATTTTGTCAATTAAAATGAATTTTTTATAAAATACAGTATATCTTATCTAGATTAAAATCTAAATCCTATTGAGGGCTACATAGGTTCCACAACGGGTTGATTTTGACCAATGTGATCAAGTACAGTAATTTTCCATTTAAAATTCAAAATAAAACCAATAGATTGCTAAATGATTTCCCTAACTTACACCAGTTTAGCCTATTTCATGAATTCAATAATTGTCTACCTAATATGTCACATGACATAAAACAATGATTTAATTTCTATATAAATATTTAAAACTAATTCCAATATATTTTGCCATTAATTCAATGATTGTACTGTATATAATCACTAGCAAGTACATTTGGTTAAGTATTTATATAATTGTTCCAGAGTTATTATAAATATTATTAAAGTAAACACATACTAATTTTAAATTTAATTATTACAATTGTAATTTAACTTAATATAAATATTAGTAAATTTAATTATCAGTAAAATAGTGTTCATTTAATATCGATATTAAAATAAATATCATATTATTCACATACCTATCAATAGAATGTGAATAATATTCACAAAATCATTGAAAAGTATTGAAATATTTTTGTTTAAAAAATTATATTTTGAATCTAATCCGCAAAATATGTTCAAAAAATACAAATTTAGAGGAATATATAAATTTGCAAAAAATACTTTTGAGCCAAAAGTGCATTTCAACTGAATTTCACGAATTTGTTTGCAATTAGTTTCTCGACTCAAATAAACGCCTAAATAAGTAAATCAACTGACCGGGTACATATGAACATGGCCTGATGTTTTGCCTATCGGATTGTCTTATTACCTACAACTCTGAACTCTATGTTTACGATCAAAGGGACCAGGCTTGTGTAACTGTTTCTAATCCCAGAGTGGTGATTGCTAGTCATACAACTCTATGCTTAGAAATAGTACTGTATGGCCTACTTGTAATTAGGGGTAGACAAGTGGCATGGGGTAGCCGGGGAGGTAGTGAATTGGACCCGGAATGAAATACAATAGAGCGACATTGATCATTATCTATGTCGGGAGCTTAACTCATCAATTGTGTGCGACTTGTGATCATTGGATTCAGGAAATGGTCCGGGATCATCGGTAAGTAACTTATAAGGCTAGATTCTTAAAGGCCTTGCTATATTTAATATGTAGATTTTTGTTGGCTATCACTTTATTGACACCAATTTCTCATTGAAATGCAACAAATTTTGTAATTTTATTTGAATGATACATAAGTCGATAAACAATGAATACTGTATTTACGATAAAACAAACTATAAATTAAACTGAATGCCGACCACAAGCGGTTTTGCCTGTAATAATAGGGAACGACCCCTTTATTGAAGACTACGGGGACGTCAGTGTCGGTGACTCTGGAGAAGTGGAACCTATAATTCATTATTTATCATTAAATATGAAAACCTTTTTAAAAATAATAAAAACTCATTTTATTAGTTTCTGTAGTCAATATGAAGCTTTTCAAAACTAAAAGTATCAGGTTAACTTTAGCTATAATTCAGTTTAAACTTACAAAAAGTTTTTTGTATTGACGAACGTGTCGGCATTTAAGACATGGAAATATTCAAATTGTATTCAAATGATTGCAATACTTTTATAATTGTTTATTTATATTATGTTTATATTTCACAATATATTATTGGAAATACATTATTACAGTCTTTAATATAATATGAGTTTATAGCAGTGACAACTAAAATATGTTTTTTTATAAATATGTGGCTCATAATTTATTTATTTCATATATATTATCAGTAGATAAAGTACTATACAAACACAAATATCATTACTATTTTTACTATATTCACAGTCACCTGTAAATGTGGGATTTCTAGACATTTCTATATTGATTTTTAATAGAGAAATATAGTTTTAAAAATATTCACGAACTTAACAAATAGAAACTAATCGGATAGATTTCTATCAATTAGTCAATGTTTTAACATATAAACACTAAAACAAATACTTAATTTAAAAATTACAGTTTATAATTTTCATTAAATACTTTATATCTCTCAC